TCTTCTTTCTCTATCAGTCTGAACTGCCTCTTTGACCACCACTGAGATAACGTTTTCAGAAAACTAACCACAGTGACTCCAAAATACCTTGCTAACTGATGCAAACTAATTTAGTGACTGCCGTATTGCAGTCTTGGTTTTGGTTATCCTGAATAATTGTGAATCACCAGAAAATGTTATCTCACTGTTCAATCCTATTACATTTACCCTTTGTGAACATGTTTTAAAGCGTGGGTCCCCTGGGAATCACACTGGTTGCTCCCCTTTGCAATCATTTACCCTTCTCTTCCTTTCACCGCAGTTACTAATCACAAAAGGAGTTCCTCTCTTACGCTTTATAAAAATGCTTTGGGCAACCTATATACATTATTGCTTAATCTGGGCTGCATGTTAAATGTTCTTCATGTCATGTGTAGAGTCCCCTTATTGCTCGGGCAGGGAAGATCCCTGGAACACACTGTGCCTCCCCTCTGTCCCATACATTTGGATTTCCTTTCTGTGGAAATCAGACTGAGGGCAAAGGCAATCTGGGAAGAGAAGGAGCGGAGGCAGGAGACGACAGAGGATGATATGTACTTGGTCCTCTTCCAACCGGGAGTTGGACTGTGGCTGAGAAGGACTCCGAGGTCCCAATGTTTATATAAAGCCTGTATAAACCAGTCCCCTTTATCAAAGTTTGCTGACGTTTTCAAAGCACTCTAACAAAGCCGCAGTTTCCAGCTCTTCCCATTATATGGTAATGAACCATGTGTTAGCCTGACTGGTCTGTCATTTCCAGCTTTTCCCTAAAGCCTTTCCCAAAAGCTGGTATGGGTATGTCAGTGCTCCTTTCCTCCAGCACAGACTTCACTCCGAACTGCCAATTACAAAACACAACTAATAATACAGTGTGCTGGGGGTGGCTCTGAAATCTCTTACAAGGATACCAGAGTTTGGGAACTTTTTTTCTGACTTCACCCTTTCAAAGGTTTTGTTGTAGCAATTACCTCAGACTCCACCATAATGAACAATGGCAGAAAAATCCTACTTTGATTTTATCCTGTGGGTTTCTTGAATGCTCCTGTTATACCTGATGCTTGCTGGTTCCTCATGTTCCCTGGCAGTTCTCCTGTTCTTGATGTATTTGGAAAAGTTTTTATGCTGCAAAATATTTTTTGGCCTGCTTTATTATGGTTTTATATTTAACTCGCCAGAGTGTATGCTATTCGTCTTTTGGACAGAAGCAGAAAATAACAGTATTCCACAAGTGAGTGCACAGACGACGTTCACAAAAGGCTCAGGTATTTGCAGTGGGTATCTAAAAATGCAGTCTTGGGGTACTTCAATGCATGGTGAAGTCAGGGGAGTTTGGTGAGGGCTGGAAGGAGGAAAAATGACTTGGCAAAATGTGGCCCAGGGACTGTATCTGTTTACATTTCCTTCAGCTTTCATTCTCAGTCCACGTATTCCTAGAGGGTTATCTTTTAAATATATTTTAAAGAGAAATTCAGACAGCTCCCAAACTGCACAACAGCTGTAGCAAGCTTATTAGCACAAATTATTATTACGCAGTATTGTAGCAGCTCACGTTGTGGAGCCGTATTGCGCCAGGTATTGCACAAACGTGAAGTGAAAGTTGGTCCCTGCCCCAAACAACGAACGGGTTCTGTCCCCATAGCTTACATAGCACATTGCTGAACAAGCACTCTCAGTATTTATGACCCTACCACATTTTAAGAGTGATCCCAAGGCCATGTTCAAGCACCAGCTTGCCTGCTTGTTCACACGTCAATGGCACGCTCCACGTGCGATTTGGCCAATCTGGATTTAGGGCTGTGCCCGCGCCCCTTAAATTCCAGTAAGCAAGGCATCTAAGTGTTTTGCTGAATCAGGATCCCTCTTTGTAGAAAATGTATCTGCTATTAAACATACATTATGCTTGCTCTTAGTGTTAAGTGCCTTGTGTCCTGCCCCTTTCCCAGCTAACCTCCACCTGTGGTGAGAGCCATTCATCTTGAATTGCTTTAATGCAGTGTTTAAGTATGTCAGCTTGGCAACAACGCAGTTTGCATGGTATTTCAGTGAGAGGTTTAAAATCCCATTCACATTTTTAATATGTGTTTCTCTCACATAAATTATCCCAGCTTGGTTGGCAGGTCCTGCATGAGTAATAAGGTTGTTGGCACAAACACGTATCACAGATCTATTAGGAAAATAGAATCTTTTGTTTGTTCCTACACTTATACCAGAGCTATGAGATTTAACTTCTACAAAACAGTTTAGATACTAGTTTAAAACACAGATACTTGTGTTTTCCTAGCAGTATGTTACTACTTGTGAAGATAACATATCCCCTCCGAAAGGTATCAGCGACAATAGAGATAAATCCCCATGCACAAGTGTGAATATTAAGCTCATGCTATGTGACCTAGCTATGCAAAAGGCAGCTTTCATGGCTTCTGCAGGCAGGCAGACGGTAGCCGAAAACTTGCTCTTACATAAAAGAGCCGCTACTGAAAGAGAAGTGAGCTGAATGCAGTTTTTACATATGAAAGGAACGTGTTCCCTTTCTGGTAAATAATGACAGAGTCACATTTCAGTTTGCTTTCTCTCTTTCATTCATAATTCTGAGAGGTGGTCACTCTGTGTTTAACCCACAACAAATCACAACTCTGCAAAGTTAAGTTCTCTGCTGCTTATGCTGAAGTCCACGTTATAAGGCCAGAGCAATGTCTGTACCCAAGTATCCTGCAGTGCAATTTTGCTCCATTTGTGTTGTAAGATCACGAGCTGGAGAACTTTGTCTCAATATCTATTTTTAAAGCATTCAGAACTCTTGCAATGTAGGCCTGACCTGAGCACACAGTGGGAATCTTCCACTGTGTGGTATTTAGGGCTTTGAATCAAGCCTTCTGTAAACAATGAATTATGGGGCTAATAAGGTATTGTGAGGAAACAGCTTTGAAGTGTCTAGCCTTTAATATCTGTATGTCTCACCAATTTTGTGTCAGATTAGGAAAACATATCCTTTCATAACAGCTTACGGTTACAGTTGCTAAATAAACGTTGTGAGGTTCTACAGTCACATTGAGTGGTTTGGATTGTTTCTTTATTACACTGTATAAAATATTAACTGTTGTTATTCTCAAACTGAAGGTAACAGTATGTTTGACATAATACAGGCACAAGTAAAGAAAATTATGCGAAAACGTGAGAGGCACACTTTGAAGCTTATGTGCAAACGGATTAAAATGTATCTATGCAACTTGTGAATAAATTCATCATGATCTGAAAGTGAATTATCAGGAAACCAAGGCAACTCTGCAGCTACGGCTCTCTGTAATGCACAGAAGAACGTATTTCATCCACTGCTGGAGAGGCTGGCAGCATTTCAGAAATGCAGAACTCAGTTATTGGATGTCTCTGGATACAAGCACAATGAGTTTGTCAATATAACTACGGAAATGTTCAAGCGGAGCTGGAGCAAGACACAATAAGGAATGGCATTACTGATGCTGTGTGTGTCATTCCACGGCCTTTATGACGTCCGCCTGGGAATTCGTTCAGTCCAGGACAACTGTTTACACTTCAAACTTGGTAATTTTATTTATGGACTTTCATTAACAAAGTTTAAACAAGAGCAATTTCTAAGTGCTTTCCAGTAACAATCTTTGAAAAGTCTGCTAGGTAAACGTGCTCCGCAGATTGCGCATTGTCTAGCATTCCTGCTTGACTGCCTTCCCCAAACTCTCTTCCACCCTGATTCATTCAACGTGGTCCTGAGAGAGGAGAGCTCAGCGAGGCGATGCTGTGAGGCGATGCTGTGTGCCCCGACACTCACACAGACCAGATGGAGGAGGAGGCCAAGAGGCTGTGTGGGTTATTCAGCCTAGCAAAACGAAGCGGGTATGGCCTGTGAAAGCAAACCGGGGGTAACCACCACCCAGAGGCTATTTAAGCAGAGGAGCAAGGCTGGCACAAATGGCTGTAATATGGCCGTGAACAAATTTAGGCTGGAAGCAGGTTTCCAGACATCAGAGGAGTGACACTTCGGGAAGCCTCCGAGCAAGGAGCTGTGCGAGCTGCCTCAGCGTCATCCTGCATTGCTGCGTGGGGGGTTGTGGAAGCCCAGAACTCCTTCCCAGCCGCGTTATTCTGCGTGCCGAGGGCTGGTTATGAACGGCTGTACTTTAACAATTCGGGATTCAGAATAATAACTCGGGATTATGTAAGGGCAGCGGCTGTCACCCGCCGCCGCGCAGCCACCCCTCCCCTCACAGCCCCTGCCACAGCCGCCCCGCGCCTGCTGAGCGCTGCGGCCCGACCCGCTCCGCTCGGCGTGACTGACAGCTCAGGCAGCCAATCCACCGCCCCCATCCTTTGATTGACGGCATATCCACCCAATCAGGCTACGAGCCGCACTCCGCCCTGCCTCCCACTTCAGCGGGGGGGCGGATGCTAAGCGTCCCTCTCGCGACGTTTTCCCGCTCCCCCCCCCCTCCAGCCCGCCGCCGGGTGCCGGCGCGGCCGCCATGTTGGTTGCTAGGCTGCTGCGGCCCGCGTGAGGCGGGAGCAGGCGGGGCGGGGAGGGGAAGGGAGGCGGCGCCGTTCCTCCCCCTGCTCCCCCCCGGGCTGCCGGGCGTCAGGCGGCGCCGTGCCCCGTGTGAGGGCTGCGAGGGGGCAGCCGCGGCCCCGCCGGCTGCTCAGCTGTGAGGAGAGCGGGGAGGGAGGGGCGGGAGAGGAGCCGGAGGGGGCTCCGCCGCCTTCCTCCCCCCTCCTCCTCCTCCTCCTCCAGCCCTTTTCCCCTCGGCCCAGCCGCCGCAGTACGATGCGGGCCCCGCTGCCGCCGAGGCCGCGGCCGGGCCGGGCTCTGCGGGGGGACTGAGGGGCGGCGTCGAGGGAAAAAAAGGGGGGGGGGGGGGGCGGGCGCGGCGAGGAGAGGCGAGGCGAGGCGAGGAGGGGCGGGGCCGGCCCCGAGCGCGGCCCCGGGCGCGTCCCCCGCCTGCTGCGCGCACGGGCACGGGCGCGCGCGCGCGCGGGGGGTCGCGGGGCGGCAGCGGCGAGCGCAGCCCCCGCGCCTCTCCCCTCCGCGCTCCCGCGGCCGCCCCCCCCCCCCCAACCACCGCGTCTCCCCCGCTCCATCGGCAAGGACGTGGCTGTTATATGAAGGTAAGGGGGCGGGGAGGGCTTGGGGGGCCGTGACCCCCCTCGGAGGGGGGGATCTTGGGGCGAAACCTGGCTGTGGGGGTGTCCCGGGGGGGTGTAGGGTTGGTTTGCGGCAGGTCGGAGGGGAAAGTTGGCGGCCGTGCGCTTCCCAGGGCTTCCCAGGCACACGCACGTTGCCCTGGCTGTGGCCGGGGAGAAGGGGCTGGAGCGGCGCTGGGCAGGCGGCGGGTCCCGTCCACCCCCCCCCCCCCCCCCGGGGGGCTCTCGGTGCCCGCCTGCCCGCTGATGTAACCGCCTGGGGCTCCCCGGCCACCGCGCACCTGGGGCTGGTGCCTCGCCTCGGCTGCTGCCGTGCGAGGTTTGGGGAGGGAGAGCCGGCCCCTTCCCCTCTCAAAAAAAAAAAAAAAAAAAAAAAAAAAAAGCCTCCCGGAGCTCAGCTCGCTCTGCCGGCGTGGGTGAAGCGCGCCCACCGGCGCCGAGAGCGAGCCGATGGGATGGGGAAAGCACACGCGGGTGAACTTTGTGCTGAGCCTCCCCGATTGCAGCCTTTTATTTATTTATTTAATTTTTATTTAAACCGTGACACGGGAAATATTCGTCTCGCTGGTGTATTACAGAAGTGCTAATGGCTTGCGGCTGAACCGTCGTTGTTAGCCGGTAGCCTGCACATGCATTTTCCCAGCTGCGGGTATCGCTCGCCCTGAGCTCAACTCGGCTGCATGGCACCGGGGTCTTGTGGCTGCTGCCGGCATCGCTGGGAGCCCCCCGGGGGTGCTCGCACACATGCAGGCATTTATGAGCTCGTTACCTTATAAATATGGGCTGCAGGAGCACACCGGGGAGATTAAAACCGGTAAAAACGTCATCTTAATAGACGTCTATATCGAGGGAAAGCTTTCCAGTTCGTTGCCTAAATATAAAATATTCAGTATCGTAATCTTATGGATGCCATTTTCTTGACAATGGATTTCTTGCTTCACTGACCTAAAAAGTTATTTTTACATATTGGCATATAACTCAGGTTTGCACCATGTTGATAAAATATTATTCCGAGTGATAAGCTTACAAATATGTACGTGTGTTTCTACACATTTCCCAGGCACGTTTTTGCTTTATAAGCTCAGAAATGTAACTGTGGGTCTGATTTTTTGAAGATAACTTTGTTGTCATTACAGCCTCTATGTATTTTTAGATTTCTGTTCCTTTTTTTTTAAACTAAAGCAAACATTGAAATATAAATACGTTTCCATCAAAAGCAAAAATGTTGTAATATTTTACCTTTTAGTGTGTTTTCTTTGTGTCTGCTGTTAAGTTTGTTTGAAATCAGATTCACCTCCTTAGGGTTTAGTTTGGTGGTGTTTTTTTTTTTTTTTTTTTCTTGTTAATTACAGTTTTCCATGAAATGTCTTATTTGCTGCCATGCTTTATAATTCTGTTGTCCTGCTGAAGCCCTGTTGAGGTTGTACATAGCAGTATTGATTGAACACCCTTGCTAAAAATACTGTCGGGGTTGGGTGTGCTTACAGTGTCGTTGCAGGAAAGTTAAGTCTGCCCTGTTTTTCTGTGAGCAGAACGAGTGGCTGATTATTAGCAGCTACATTTGTCAAAGCCCCGAATAAAAATCAAAATCCTGTGATCTTAGGAGTAATGCTAGTTGCTCCATTGAGTGGCCGAACTCTCTGTTAGCGGACAGAGTTCATTAAGTGCTATTTACATGTCAGTGCCATTAGCATATTTTGAATATATGGTAAGCCAATACCCAGGGCACATCATTTTGGCTCTGTTCCTGCAGTGCCCCCTGTTTGGGCAGAAGGATCCACCTACCCTCAGCTCGCAGCAGGAACTGAAGCTTAACCACTGGCTCTGGAGGCACGAGGCCGATGTTTATCGAGAACATTTGCTGCGTGTGAATGTTTTGCGTGTTTTGTTGTTAACCTCCGTGTTTGTGTGGCACGTCGTACAGGCTTCAGTGCTTGCAAAGAGCTACGTGGTTGGCACCCCGAATAACAGCTGAATGTGAGTGTGTGGCAGGGTGATTTTGTGAAAATGAAATATTTTCCTTGAACTTGCTTGCCTGTTTTATCTGATCAGGAAGATCCTGATCAGTATTTGGGGGCTGTGTCCCTCTGGGGCCTTGTTATCCTTGGCAGGTTGTTTTATGAAAGTTTTGCTGAATGTACGTGGAAATTTTTTGTGCATCATTTTATGCTTATGTGTAAAATGTGGACTGTCTGTTGTACAAGCGTGTTCTGGAAAACTGAGTGGAGGTTGCAACTTTGAAATTAGTGGAAGGGAAGATACCAGGATGGTGTGCTTGGTCCTGAAAGCTAACCTGTGCATAGGAAAGAAAGCTAGAATGGCTTGCTGGTGGCATTTCAGATGGTTGGATGAGGTAAAGGGATTGCGTTAAGGGACTTTCTGATTCTGTGCTAACTCTTTAGTTTATCTAAGCAATCAAAACAAATAGTCACATGCCACGTTTCATTTGGCACTGAAGTCACCATTAGATTATTTTTCTGAAACTGCTAAAAAGTGAGTTTCTGTGGCCTGTTTTCCTAGGTCTTCACACTGCCATTAGCTAGATCCTCTGGTACATCGGGATTCTGCCTCGTCCCTCCTCTGCTCCCCCGCCCCCCGGCCAGTCTGGGTTTAAATTTGGTACAAGATCACATGAATCCCATGCCTTCACATCCTGTTTTTGTGTCACCTCACTTCCATTCTCACCAATTATAAAAATGGTCAAACAAGAGAATCTTTCAGCAGATGGTTGACTGTGCGTTGTTTTTTTTTAATACCTCGCTTTCACTCTGGTGCTGTCACTTTTCATAAAATGGCCAGGCAAAATTCTCGTGAGTTTCACTGTGATCCAGCCTAAACAGCTGTAAAAATGGTTTGTATGTGTGTATAATGCGGGCCTGTTTGTAGAGGGAAGAAGGAACGGTGAAGGTAGAAGAAAAAGGGAAGGGGAGGATGGTTTGGGCAGAAGGCAGACCCAGGAGGAGAGCAGCGTGGTAACGTAACAGCAGCTCTTGCTGTCTGGGCCAGCTGTTCATATATGCTCATTTGGGAACAGAAGCTGTTTTTCCTCGAGGACTTGTAATCCATTGAAATAGCACAAAATAGTTCTGTGTAGGCTTCTGAAAGCCTTTTTAATTTCCAAGATTTTAAAATTTTCTGGAAGTAATCTCTGCTATGTTTCGTCACAGGATTACATAGCAGAATCTTCTTTCCCAGTTTGGAGAATTTCACAATTATTAGGAAACTCTTGCTGCTTATCACTTATACCATGATTTCTTCAGGCATACAGTAGTTACTGTGCTCACAGAAGTCTCACTGACATGTCACCATACAAGGCTGAGATGCCCAGATGCAGGTTACAGGAACGTGGCTGTTTTGCAGTGGTCTGCGTTACTCAGCTCAAGTCTGTGCTGATCGTGTGTGCTGTGGCCCAACGTGTCCTACAGAGCATTACAGCTTGTAGGCAAATAGTTACTCAGGTAAATCAGACAGGCATAACTAAATGGATTTTTGTTTGAAATGTGGGAGTTCAACCAGCTTTTATTTTTCTCAGCTTTTGCACCTTGGAAGAAGAAATAGGTGATGCAATTAGACCTCTGTTTGCACGCTCCTTTGTCTTGCACTGCAATTACTTTTTGGACAAGTTAAAGGCGACTGTTGAATGATAAATGCAAGTCTCTGTGAGTGGTTTATGAGATACAGCCATCTCTGCAGTTCCACGAGGAAGGGAGAAATAGCTAATATCTATTTATAAATAAACTGTCTTTTAATTATAAGTACTTATGCTCTTTAATGAAGAGTGCTTTAGGAAATATTTTCACCAATTGGAGATTGAAATGCAGTTGCTGGTTAAGAGTTCTCAGGCCATCCGTGAGAGATAAGAGATAAATAAAATTGATAACACCCTTAGAGCATGTGTGTTCTCACATTTCCTTTCAGGCTTCCTTTAACTTCCCTGGGGTTAACTGCCCGAGAGAACGACTGAATTATTCTGCGTGACCAAAGCCCAGACCTTCACATGAAAACCAAATGTGTTGCTAGCAGGGATTCATGTTTTCATACATATAGTTTTTAAATTTAGAATCGTGTTTATTAGAATGAAGGAGGATATTCCAGTACCTTCAGTATCTTGTCAACTTTTTTATTTTTTATTTTTTTGGATACCAAATACTTAGTGATTTTGAATTTAATGCGGAAAACTTTCTTCTAATGTGCTGCTTTTGGGATGTTGCTCCAGTCTGGAGGCCCTACTTACATGTAATTTTGCTATAATTTTGCTATTTTGTGGTAGTTTTCATAAACTGTTTTAAAATTCAAGAGTAAGCTCTTAGCATTACTTTTGTGGAGAAAAATTTATTAGGAGTAACAATGTCAATTGATTTGGGTTTATGTCTATTAACTGTGTATGGGTTAAACATATGTTCCTTCCTTACTTGGCTGTAAAGGAATATTAACTTTTAAGGAAGCTGAATGGCATTTAAGCACTTTCTGAATGCTTTGGCCATTTCATTGCACTTGTGTACCACCGTCTCCTTGCCCTACAAGAAAAACAGTAACTAATCCCCCAAACAATGTTGTGTTTCTCTTGCAAAGGACAGGCATGGAAAAAGGCCTCTGTCAGTGCAGCCCTGAAACTGAGTAATGAAAGTTATATTTCAAACTTTTTTCTCAGATCAGAAAAATATTCTCAGATAAGACTTATCTTTTTTTTTTTTTCAGTTTGTAGTTGTGTTGCTGTTATTATTTTTAAAATGGCATCAGTCATTAAAACCAGAAATTGAAACTGTATCTGCAGCAGATAGCTCTCCATGTAAACCAAAGCAGCAGCTGGTAAAAGATAAGGGCCTGCTGGGGCTCCTTTGTCTGGGAGAGATGTGCTAACATATTTGGTCTTGGAAGAAGGTTAACAAGCAAGATTCCTCTGTTTTCTTTTTGCAGCAGAAGGTGGTATTTGCGAAACAGTTAAGCAAAGTCAATAGCCAGGA